ATCATAAACGTCGGACCTTCGTCATAGCACCAACATCTCACGGAATGAAAAATATATTACTTGTACGTTCTGGCGGTGGGAAGAATTCCGCAAACGTTTCTGAAAGACATCGTCTGATGATCCAGCGTCGATTTCCGACGATCCAGTCGGAATCCTCGGCTAAGGATTGTCAGACGCTGCTTATCCTTATTGATTGATTGAGCCATCGCGCCAGTTTTTTCGCCGAAGGCACAATAAAGCGTCAAGGATTTTCACTCTCGCGAACAGGAATAAAACATTACCATATGAAAGAAACATACAATACGTTTTCACAACGAACCTCGTTCTATACGATTCTATCAGTTTATCTGAAAGACATCTGATGCTGAAGCTAAAAAAAGGTGTTTAAGAATGATTTAAAGAAGATTAAGAAATTCGGAAATTCTCACGTTTCCTGAAAAACAAAAATACTACAATGCAACGTTTCAAATTTGTTGATTGTTGGTTTCTATGGTAACGCTCTTTGCTTTTGACAGTTGCAGTGACTTTTCTTTATGCAGTGTTATTTAAAGTTGTGAAAACGAATAATTATTTTCTGTGAAACAGGTAAATAAATTGTATGGAAACCAACAGAAGTACAGCGAAAGTCTCGAGAAGAGCAGAAAACAAAGATAAGAAAACCATGAAAGGTTAAAGGGTATTTTAATTATATATATATATATATATATATTTTTTTACATAATTTACTTTAACACGCACCCAATTTTGTGAAATACAAATGATAAAAAAATAATAAAATTTTAAAAAGTGGATAATAAATAAAAAAACATATTTTTATCTTTTAGTAGGATTTTGTTATTAGGTTAAAAAATTATTACATAATATTCTTTATAAAAGGGTTAACATAAACCTGAATATTTGAGGGTTTTGTATAGCGTTTTAATAATGGTTGCGCTAGGTTGTTAATTTCAGTAGGGGAAAGATAAGGTAAAGTAGTAATTACTTTCCTGTAAAGTCTGTTAAGTGATACCATTACGTTTAACTGCTTTTAAATTTTAATTTTGCGGAATGGGTAATTTGCAAAATTGATTTGCCGTTTTATCTTACATTTTAATCAATGCCGAAAACATTTAGAAAACACGTGCATAAAATACAATAATCCGACCGCTTTTTATCTAAACAAACTTAACAAATTTTATCTTGATCTTCTTGAAAATGTTATAGACCCACTTATTACCCAGTCATTAGAAAATCAGATGAACGAACAAGAAAACATGTTGCTTGATGACAATGGAGTTCAAACCTTCAGACACGTTGATTTTGTTTGCGAGACGGACATTTTTGGCTATATTGGCCTGTTTAACCAAAATTTTTATTCGTACCTATAATCGTTTTTTATGTCATTCTTCGGCCAACCTAATATCACTCCAACATCTAAAATTCATTACATAATACTACACATACATTTGGTAGTTAATTCTATCATAATTCCAAACCAAATATTAACTAACACAAGAAACAATCTTCCAAAATGTCGGACACTTTCGTGAGTGGGGGATATTTTTAAGAATAGGCCAGTCGTACCAATATTTACTAATCTTAGAATAAATATAATTATATTTATATCCAGTATAGTTTTATATCTTTAAGAATAGAATAGAGGGAATTTTCCAAAATTTGGTCTAATCAATTGTTAATCTTAAATTAAGAATAAGATTATTTCATTTAGTGTTTCTTAACACTTAACAGGCAAGAATAAGATCTGCTTGTTTAATAAAATATTTGTTCAACAATGGATTTGTACTTTCATCCTTGATATACTATAACTTAAAAGTTATTAAGGGATGCTTTTTTTAAATTTAAAACCCTGTATGTATATACGGCTGTATTACTTGTGTTGTCTAAGCAGGAAAAGAGCAGTGATTGCAGCAGGAGGAGAGGAAGAACTGCGGATGGTAATTTTGATAATAGAAAATTTTGTAGCAAAATTACTGAGGAAATCAAGAATGAAAATTGTATCTGCGAGCGGTAGTACGGTGGAGCAAAGAAGAGAAAAGGCCAACAGAAGCTTATCATACGGCGGTGATGATTGCGATTTTATCCCGAAGGCAATCATCAAAACGCAGTTCGGGATTTTTAATTTTCCGCAGAAATGAAAAAATCTCCGGATTGTTGTTTTTCATTGTTGGCCGAATAAAAGGGACTAAAAACATGTCAGTTAAAGGCGGTCCAAGTATTTTGTTTTAATTTCTCTCTACTCTACTCCACGACAATAGATTCATTTCATAATTACTAACAAAAAGTATGGGATATATTTTTACGTTGCAAACGTTTATTCTACCTCCAGACACATGTTGTATTACTTTTTACTTTTCCTAAAGCATAAAATTAAATGCATATTGCGGAAACACAAGTCAAAGGATATTTTTTATATTTTTCTTTCATCAGAAAATATCCTTTATATTACTTTTTATTAAAGTTTGTACGTAAGAAAATATGAGCATGGATTTATCAACAGCGGTTGTTGGACATAAGTTTATGATTACTACGTTAAATCAATAAACAGCGAACATAGATATATGAAAGCATGTTATTATTATTATAAACGGTAGACATTACTTTATGATTATTTTTCATTGAATCAATAACCAATTACCATAGATCTATGATCCCTGGTTATTAATACTACGAACAAAAAGGCATTAGTTTATGATTTACTTAAATTTACATAAAATCCAAGACGAACCCAATAAAAATCATTTGCCAAATTTACTTACCTTTTTATTTAAAATAAAGACGTTTTCGGTGAATACATTTTTTTATTGTAAGAGAAATTTACAAATAATATGAACCTTTGGGCTTAGGTTTACAAAATGCTCTTTTAAAACATTATGGTTTCCTGTAAAAAGTCAAGATTAAATATATAAATAATTTTAAAACATATATCGAACGCCTTAATTACATGAAATCCTAAATAATTATATTTAAAATATTACTTAAAGTGCATATTTTTAAAACTAAAAACTTAAAAATAAAAAAAATTACCAAAAAAGTCAAAAATGTTTCCAATAACTTTATCAGCTCACACACCTCAGTTTCGTCAATGTCCACTCCGTATATTAGGCCCAAAACTTAAACATTAATCCAAAAAGTTTAAAAATGTTTAAAATAACTTCACAAGCTTACACACCTTGGCTTCGCCAATGTTCACTCCTTATATTTAGCACAATTTCACTAGTAAAGCTATTCCTAATAATAATGTTTATGTTGATTGATTCATCGTACGGCAGCATTAATTTTGGCGCGTTTTTCGAATTGAATGGTTAGTTTGTAAAATCAATGTTTAGTGACCGTTGGGACAATGAAGACGGTTTATTATTATTTATGTTTGCTGTTCATGGATCAATGACGAAAAATTTATTGATTTAAAGATAAAGAACATAGTTTAATGATCGTCAATAGTTAATTCAATAAATTTTTATATTATATTAATGAAGGAAATAATTTATTTTTGTTTTGCATTGATCGTTTTTAATGTTGGCTTGTTTCAATGTACTTAATTATTAATCTGTGATCAAAAAGTATTGTTATAATCACCAATACATAATATTAATGTACAAATTTGACGAAAGCAGTTTATTAGTTTTACGTTCAGTTTTTCTTTCAGTGGTGCTATTAGGGTTGGTATAATAGCAATTCGATTTTTTAAGTTGGTTCGCGTTTCGCATAATAAAGTAACCGAATAAAAAATGACAAGAAAACCGCAACAAGCAGAACTAAAATTAAGAACTCCAGCAAGGTACGAGTATATGTACATAGAGGTATGTACTCTATTGTAATTTAACTATTTTGTAATGGACGCCTAAGTGTAGGATAATAACAGCGGTACAGTCAGCACTGTAATATACAATGCAAATGCTAATTGCAGATTCGAACGTAAAATTTAATGCGAATAAATTAGAGTTGAAATAGGACATTTGGCACGATATTGTCGTGGGTGGGTGTGTTACTAATTCTAGGCTCGCTCGGCAAGAATAGGCTAAATTTTAAAAGAAAGAACAATAAAATTTTATATGTTCTTTTCGTGGTGTGCTTTTTACACGGAAAAAATGTTTTCTAAATGTAAGAATACCTTCATTCTTAAAAAAAAGATTTTATTTCTTAGCTTAAAATCAAGTTGTAACAAGATGGTTGACCTAATATTCTCAAGGCTAAAACTAACATTAAACTAAATATTAATCTTTATTTAAACAAGCAGATTTAAATGTTAAGAAAGACTTTAAATGAAATAATCTTATTCTTAATTTAAGATTAACAATCGATTAGATTAAATTTTGGAAAATTCATCTATTCTGTTCTGAAAGATATAAAACTATACTGGATATAAATATGATTATATTTATTCTTAGATTAGTAAATATTGGTACGACTGGCCTATTATTAAAAATATCCCCCTAACGAAAGTGTCCGACATTTTGGAAGATTGTTTCTTGTGTTAGTTAATATTTGGTTTGGAATTATGAAAGAGCTGCTAAATTAGTAGAATTTGATAATTATTACATAATTATATTTACGTGTGTAGTATTATGTATTGAATTTTAGATGTGGAGTGATATTAGGTTGGCCGAAGAATCACATAAAAACAATTATGTATATTTTATTTCTGATTATAGGTACGATAGCCAAAAAATGTCCGTCTCGCAAACAAAATCAACGTTTCTGTTAAACTATATTTTATTATTATTTTAGCCTGTTCTTTGTGAGAGAAGGAATAAGCTGAACTTTGTATCTTAATGGTTGTGGTAAGAATAAAAATTTTTGTTACAAATAAGAATAAATCAATCCTTTAATATAGAATAGCTTTTTTTTTGTGTGCTTCGGTCAACTACCATCAGTAGTGCTTGACCATGGTAAGGGTGGTGGTAGCATCCCACAGGTAGCGTCGCGACGTCACGAGAGCGCCCCCATCAAAAGACGACCGCAGGCTCTAGCCGACTCGCTCTATCCCCTCTTGAGCGTCCCGACGTTGCACGCGACGCGCTCTTCCTCGATTGGCGCGGCATCATCCGTCGCGACGGCACATGGTTTCCAGACGCCGCGAGACGCGTATCGCAGTGCTCGAGTTCGATTACGACGTCTATACGTAACGTTTATAGACGTTGTACCGGTCAAAATTTGTTGAGGATTTTTTGGAGTTTAGTAAGGTAAATGGTGTTTATACATGGGATGAGTAGTGTAGATATATGCACCCTATTTTACTTTAATAAAAACAAAACAAAGTAAAAAAAATAAAATGTCATATAAGTTTTAGCAAAATTTATTTATTATATTATTATTTTTTTGCAGTAAATTTTTTTAAATAAATTTTATTTTAATTGCAATTTTTTATCAAAGTATCTACATTAATCGATAAAAAAACTTGTACATTAGGTAGACAAATTAATAAATCTATATAATTAAAATCCAATTAACTCCTTTTAAATATCAGTTGGTTAAAAACGCCATTTATTAAATCATTTAAAAAATAAATGACAAAAATTTAAAAAAAAATCAGTCTGTCCTATTTATGTTAAAAAAAAATCTAAAAAAGGTTGTCATGAAAACAAAAAAACAAGGTATCTACAATTATTATTATTATTATATATAAATATTATTGGAAAATATCCGATACCCTTTATAAATATAAATAAATATTAAAAAAAAGAAAAAAACTAAATTTAATTTTTGAAACCATACATCTTAAAAACCACAAAAACTTTTTTAATTTGTTACCAGGCCTTTACTGCGCCAATTTCTGGACACCCTGTATATAATTACAAAAAAATTGACAAACTTTAAAAAACTTGGCAACACTGTGTGTTATAGTTATGTGTTTGTGTCAAAAAATCTGTATAACGTTGGTATTATTTAAATTTTAACCTTTTAAAAATTTATTTTTTAATGTCCTCTATGAAAGAATCATTTTTGGACCACCCTGTAAAATAAAATATAGTGTCTTTTTCAAATTTGTTTATTAAACTTAAAATCCAATTTTAAATTTGTTGAGGATTTTTTAGAGTTCAGTAAGGTAAATGTTGTTTATACATGGGATGAGTAGTGTAGATATATGCACCCTATTTTACTTTAATAAAAAGAAAAATAAAAAATGAAATGTCAAGTTTTAGCAAAATTATTTTAAAATTTGTTTTTTTTTAATAAATTTAATTTTAATTACAATTTTTTATCAAACTACCTGCATTAATCGTAAAAAAACTTTTACATTATAAGGTAGACAAATTAATAAATGCATATAATTAAAATCCAATTAACTTTCTTTTAAATATCAGTTGGTTAAAACGCCATTTATTAAATTATTTAAAAAATAAATGAAAAAAAATAATTATGTTTATATATGTAGTTTTCGGAGAAAATTAAACAGAATTTTGTTATGAGAACATAGATAATATATTAAATATACACTTTTTCAAACATTTTCTGAAATATCTTTGTTTTCTAAATTTGAATACAAGGGAAGAGACGAGTATATCAGGGTACTAATTAAATAAATAATTTATTGGAAAATATAAGATTTATTGCAACTTTGAGCATATTATACATTAAGTATCTTAAAATCAAATAATACCACACATCAGTGGCGGCTGGTGGATTTTGGGTATACCGATACCTCAATTATTAGATATGGGACCCACACCAAATTTATATGAGTTTATAATGACATTAAATAAAAAAGTTCTGCGCAAGCAGAATTTAAATTGAAGTTTGCGAAAAAAAGATAACCGAAACATCGAACATGGAACTGACGACACGGTACTGATGAATGGGATACAAATTTGAGATTATAATTCGGAATTAAGTATTTTACTGATATTTTTTACTAGTGGATGCTACTTATCAACAAATCACATATAGCCTTATATAAATTACAATGAAATATATATACGTAAGAAAATTACTACTCACCACAGTACTGAAATTTTGACTGGAACTATACGTGCATTCACCACAACTTCGCCGCTTGCATTGTTTTCAAGATGACTGTCGTGCAAAGGGCGGGCTCTGTAGGTAATTTTTTACCAACACTTGAGTTAAAACGAGGACTTGACGTTTAAACTTCAATATTTCGCAGGAATTTTAAATTTTAACATTTGGCACGGAACTGACGGGTGAGTGCAAAGATAATCAATTTTTTAAAAATTGCTATTATTTGAATCTATGATAAAATATGAAAAATACATTATTTAATGTTTTATAGTTTGTAGTAAAATTGAAAAATTTAAGATAAATTGAATATATTTTAAAATAAAATCACTTAAATATTTGATTCAGGAGTTGTGACACGCCAAGGTACTGATGTTTTGAATATTTATTATGTTTTTCTACAAACGTGCTTTTGAAAAAATACATTAAAATTGGGTGGACAAGTTAAAAAAAACTAGATCTTTTGTAATATACTAAAATATTTACAAAAAATATTAAAATACCTATTTTAACCTTTTAAAAATGTATTTTTTTATATTTAAAATAAAAGGATGCTTTCGTACCAACCTGTAAAATATATAAATATAATATATAAATATATAAATAAATATATATCTAGTGTCCCTTTCAAATTTGTTTATTAAACTTAAATTCCAATTTTAAATTTCGAATTCAAATACGTATGGACCCCTAAATGGTTTTATCTTTCATAGTTTTAGAACAGCGCGGGAACGTAATGATAACATTTCGTGAAAGCAATGAAAATTTCGGCTTACAAAAGAGGCAGATAATTGGATATATGATTGCGGAACAAACAAGCATACGCTGTTTTATTTGCAGAAATTGCCCGGGAAAACCGATTAGGCATGATGGAAAATTTGCATTCATATTTTCTTAAGCTTTTAAATATGCTTTTCTACTTCCACCACATTGAGTTGAGTCGAGTTGAGTTGTCAAAATTTGTAGTTAAAAATGCAATTAATTTGGCTTTGGTGGTGCGTAGCTAAATATAGGTGACTACGGCCCAGGAGAGACAAAGTATTTCTAGCGGATAATAATCTTCGCTTTGAAAAGAATTTATATAAAAGAAATTAAAATTTTATGTGTACACACGTAAATGTTGTTCAATCATTGGACTCCAATGGTAAATGGGTATTTTGTTAAAGCCAATGGACAATAATACTTGTAGTGGCTTAATAATAATTATAATGTATATATTGTCCAGGACTATTTATGATCAGTTCCTTGCAAATTGACAGTAGAAAAAGTTTCGTGATTATTGCTTATCTTTTTCAAACCAAATGGATGCTATTTTCAAAGACAGGAAAATTAACTACTAGATTTTTTCAAATAGGTTTTTATTTCCATTATTTTTTAAAGTTTCAAAAGTTTTTAATCTGCTTAGCTGAAAATAATGTGTGATTTAATATTTGTAAAACCAAAAACGTTACTTTTTTACTCCAAAAATGTCCATAAGGCGATGTACCATGCTCCACACCTCAAAGTCCCACCACGTGACCACGTACGGAACGCAGTCTTTTGAAAATTTGGCATTTAAGGCTTTTCAGGTTATGTATCTGTCAAAGTATAGTCAACGAAAGAAATAATAATATGTTTAGGCGTTAAAATGTATAAATCCTTATAACATTACAATAAAAATGGATGGTTTATGAATTTAAGAATAAAAATACTGCATTTAATGAAATTCTAAAGTGTATGGTGCAAAATAAGTAATATTTTTGTGCATTTGGTCCAAATATCTGGTTTTCTCCATAAAATAATTTTAACTAAACCGCATTTACTAAAAAAAATCTAGCTTCTCTATTATGGAATAAGAATATCTGTTTTAAAGGTAAGTTAATATATTATAACAAAAATATCATCTAATTTTGTAATTTTAAGGTTAGAAAAATTTATTTTGACCAAAATAAATAAGTATTTTGGATTATTTAAAAGACTGTATAATATGGTATTTAAAAATGTGGTAGTTTTTCTTATCCAGCTTAAAGTGTACCTACATAAAGTTTTGTCAATACAAATAGTTAAAAAGCTTTGACTAAATTTGATCTACATCGAAAAATCATTATAACTTTAAAAATTTTAATAAATCACATGTCATGGGAGTATTAAATATTTTCACATTGCAAGTTTCTCTAAAAATTGTTTGTTTTCTTATAATCTAACTTAAAGTAGGTATGCCGAGAGGTATACCTACTTTATATACCATATATGCACAAGTTTTTTCATTAGAAGTATAAAAGCTTCAATTTAATTTGAACCATATTCAACAATTATTTAGTATACTTATATTTATTAATGGCCATATTAACACACTCTTCCAAATAATCCACTTATTTATTTTGGTCAAAATAGATTTTTTTAACCTTAAAATACAAAATTAGATATTTTTTGTTCTAATACATTAACCTACCTTTGATACAGATATTCTTATTTCATAATAGAGAAGTTAGATTTTTTTTAATAAATGCTGTTTAGTTAAAACTATTTTATGGAGAAATGTAGACCCAATGCACAAAAATATCACTTATATAGCAACTTACACTTTGGAATTTCATTATATTCCTAAATTCTTAAACCAACCATTGTTATTGTGATACTATTAAGATTTATTAACTTTTAACGCTTAAACATAAGCGGTAACACTATAAATATTATTTCTTTCATTGTCTATACTTTGACAAATACCAAATTTTCAAAAGACTGCGTTCCGTACGTGGTCACGTGGTGGGACTTTGAGGTGTGGAGCATAGTACCATAAAAATACTAAATCAAACTGGCATAAGCTAGCAACTTAATAAAAAAACAACAAAAAAATTAACAATTATTGTGTCTAGAAGATAGATAGACACCTATATTTTAACAATAACTTTAACATAGCAGCGTTAACCTTTTAAATTTTGTTTTGTGTTATAAATTAGGCTGATGTATTGTTTGGTGTAACAAAGCGCGTGGGGTCGTTTTTTTATATGGTAAACTTGCAAAGTAGAAAATTATAATTCGGATTTAATAAGTTTCGCATGCAGGACGGAAGTTGTACATGGGTGGCGGAGTAAAAGTGATTTATTATGGAAACTTTCACGGATTCTCTTGTTTGATAACTTGTTTGTTAGCGATAAATATTATTAAATTTGAATTAGCTTTGAATTAGAACAATAACACTTGTCAACAGCCATTATGCCACAGGGTGGTCAAATGTGTATACAGGGTGTTTTACATTTTTATTTATTTGATTTGATTTAGTATTTTTAGTATTTAAAAAATGGTAATTCTGATGAAGACCTAAAAGAACTTTTAAGGGCAAAACTTCATTTCGATGAAGTTTTGCCAATTGCCTCAATGGCGCCTTATGGACGTTTTTGGAGTAAAATACATAAAATACTTATTAAAAAATATTATTAAAAAAATTAGTAAAATATTGTTTTTATTTTGTTTAAAATCACTCCACATAAGTACTTTTATTACCCGATAGTAAATCATGCCTTAATAACTCATAACATATGTTGTTTTTTAATTCATTGAAAATTTTAAGTTCCAGAATAGTTTGAAATAAGTATAATAAAGAAATATTATTTATTTTCCGAAAATAGCGTACCTACCACATGGGGGAATATTTTTAACGCAAAAATAATTTAAAACAATAAAAATATTCAGAGTAATGTTTTTACAGCATACATTTTGCTTAAAATACTATTGGATATTATTTGGGTCTCATTTAAATAATTATTTAAGTAAACTAAAAACAGTTTAACACTGCTTTAAAAAGGTGTACAGTTAAAAAAAACAGTTTAGTTTCAGAATAGGAATAAATAACATTTTTTTTAATGAATACATATTTTTCTTGCATAATATTGTTTTTTCGTATATAATTATAACCATTATTAATTCCCCACCTAATAACGGGAATTGCTAAATTTCGCGGGTTGTCATAAAATTTTCTTTATTATGTTGGTATATATGCCCCCGAAGTAGGATAAGAAGTTTAGCTGTTTTCATTGTTTACTTTGTCTGTGGCAGCCGCTAAGGTTAGACGTGTTTTATTAGTTCGGCGATTTTTCGTTCGTTAAAAGAAATGTATCAAATAAATTGTATCCAATTTTGCTTAAAAAATGAAATAAATTCTGTGAAATGTTAACAAAGGCCTATAGTGAGTCTGCTATAAGTAAAACAAGAGTACAAGTGGTATAAGAGTTTCCTAGATGGCCGTGAAGACGTTGAAGATGACGAACGCCCCGAACGCACAAGCACATTAACAACCGATAAAAACATGGAAAAAGTGAAAGAAATGGTTATAAACCATCAGAAAAGTCGCTGATGATGTTGGTATATCGATTGGCTCATCCCATGAAATTTTTTCGAATGTTTTGGGTATAAAACCCGTGGCAGCAAAATTTGTTCTAAAATTGTTAAATTTTGAACAACATTTTTGGCCAAAAACAATACTGTAATGATGCCCCAGCCTCCATATTCGCCAGACATGCCTCTGTCTCACTTTTTCCTATTCCCAAAAATAAAGAGAACCTTAAAGGGCCGTCGTTTTGCAAGCATAGATGACATTAAAAGCGCATCGCTGAAAGAACTAAAGGCTATCCCAAAGATCGAGTTTTAGAAGTGTTTCGAGTATTGGAAGAAGAGCTGGCACATGTGCATAATATCCAATGGGGACTATTTTGAAGGCGACAACATTAATGTAGACGAATAAATAAATACTTGTTTCAAAAAACGAAAATTCCCGATATTTTCTGAACACACCTCGTATATAGCTTCCCCTCAATTTGGTGGAATATGATATGAAAACAAAATAAACAAAGCATCTGCAGCGAGCTGAAGTTAACATTGTGGACGAATGCTTGTGTTTCATATATTTTTTTAAAGGAAATTTTTTGAATTTAAATTTATGCCTACATCGAATTGGGTCACATATAGATAAAATTAGGTGATTTTAATATATCGATACTTGTATAAAAAAGGATATTTTCCTTTAGCATGTATGTAGTTTTTTTATATGGGAGATGATTGAACCCTTACTGGAAAATTCACTAGGTCGGAAAATCGAATTAAATTATATGGAATCTTCTTGAAAAAAATGCTATTTAATACAAATTCAGGGTTTAAACGAATTTAAAAATCTTATACAGTGTTATCCACTAATTTCTTTGTTAAAAAAATTGTTAACTTTTTAAAGTCATAATTGCTTTTGTTACAGAAAAATAATGAAGAAAAAATTACTTCCTTGTCAAATCAAAACTTGAGTGGGAGAAAACTAAGGAAAAGAAGGATATTGGTTTCAAAATGGCGGCCAGTTTTATTTTTGGAATCTTCATTAATGTTCTTCTGTTGACACACGGTAAGTTTTAATGTTTTTTTATATTAAAAAAAATTTTGGAAAAATTTTAATAAAAGGTAAAATTTCAACCTAAACATTATAGTTATATTATTATTATTATAATGCTTGTTAAAGGCTTTTTTTCATACAATTTATAAAAAAGTAGTTAAATATAGGTGACTACGGCCCAGGATATACAAAGTATTCCTAGCGGATAATAATATTCGCCTTGAAAAGAATTTATATAAAAAAAAATATTATTTTATTTGTTATGTACTTAAAATATACTTAACGCATTCACCCTAATAGCTGACTAGTCCTTTGTTTGCACTGCTTTAAAAATCATAGCGGCCAATCAATTCTTGTTACCAAAATAAAAACAAAGGCACCATGGAAAAAGTGTTAACGATAGTTTGATTACGGAATCACACTGGAATAAAATAATCGATTTGATTGGCTTTCATATTATGTACTTTGACTTCCTAGACACAAGTCTTAATATTTTCGTAGACAAAAGTATTAATATGAGTATTATATTAACGTATAAGATGCCTTTAGTTTCTACTAGATGTCGTGCGAAGATTGTTTAAAATTTTTCGTAACAAACTGCACTTTTTTTGAATAATAAAAAATGTGGTATTTGAAACTTGAAATGTGTAAACATTAGCAATATTTTTGTTTATGACTGTACAAGATATAGTGTATAATATATTTTATCGATTTTACTATTTGTAGCAGCTATTATTTTCACATTTATTGATGATAAATAGATAATTGTGGAAAATTGCTCAGTTCGTAATGTTGCGTTATAAATAAATAGGATAGTTAAAAAATATACAGTGTGTGCGATACTATTTGACCATGTGGGAAAATTTTATGTTTTTTATTTTTTCAAGGCTTGCTAAGAAATGCTAAATGGTTCGACTATAGGTTTTTTTTTAATGGATGTTCCTTATAATTTTATATATGAGTTGGGAAACTTTTGACCTTATTTTGTTGTTATTGCAACTTTGAGCATATTATACATTAAGTATCTTAAAATCAAATAATAGCACACATCAGTGGCGGCTGGTGAATTTTGGGTATACCGATATCTCAATTATTAGATATGGGACCCACACCAAATTTATATGAGTTTATAATGACATTAAATAAACAAGTTCTGCGCAAGCAGAATTTAAATTGAAGTTTGCGAAAAAAAGATAACCGAAACATGGAACTGACGACACAGTACTGATGAATGGGATACAAATTTGAGATTATAATTCGGAATTAAGTATTTTACTGATATTTTTTATTAGTAGATGATACTTATCAACAAATCACATTTAGCCTTATATAAATTATAATGAAATATATATACGTGAGAAAATATTTACTCACCACAGTACTGAAATTTTGACTGGAACTATACGTGCATTCACCACAACTTAGCCGCTTGCATTGTTTTCAAGATGACTGTCGTGCAAAGGGCGGGCTCTGTAGGTAATTTTTACCAACACTTGAGTTAAAACGAGGACTTGACGTTTAAACTTCAATATTTCGCAGGAATTTTGAATTTTAACATTGGACACAGAACTGACGGGTGAAAGTGAGTACAAAGATTATCAATTTTTAAAAAATTGCTATTATTCGAATCTATGATAAATTAAGAAGAATACATTATTTAATGTTTTATAGTTTGTAGTGAATTTGAAAAATTTAAGATAAATTGAATATATTTTAAAATAAAATCACTCAAATATTTGATTCAGGAGTTGTGACACGCCAAGGTACTGATGTTTTGAATATTTATTATGTTTTTCTACAAACGTGCTTTTGAAAAAATACATTAAAATTGGGTGAACAAGTTAAAAAATCCTGGGTCTTTTGTAATATACTAAAATATTTACAAAAAAAATATTAAAATACCTACTCTATTGACTGATGACATCAAGTTGTCCAACTTTTGTAGAATCACCCATATATTAACAAAAGACATCTCGGTAGGTCAAAATTAAATTAGCGCTATCCCGACGCATTCGCCATTTTTGCAACTCAAGAAGGAAATATCGTAAAAACAAATAATAATATTCTAGGACGAAAATATAAATGTAAACCTCAATAAATTGTATAAATTTATGAATTTTGATTTTGCATTTAATTAAATTGAAATGCATTTAAAAATACCAATAATTTAAATAAATGCTCGAGCTTTTTAGTCGATTAAATCTGTAAAATGCAATGCAAGTTTTATTTATTTTCGTACACAAAAATTTTAATAATAATTTTACTCATATTTGTTGAATCAAACTTTTTAAAATATTATTTACAAGGCACAAGAAGATTTTTGTATGGAGGATAATATAATAAAAAAAAATTTTGCTGATTAATTTTTAATATTTTCTATATGGGGGTCAAAATTTGTCGAAATGGTGGGCCACAGGATCCTGTAACCAGATCAAAATTTGTATTCTTAATTCTACAAATTGACATATGAATTTTTAATTTTTTTATTTTAATTTAATAATAATAATTACTAAAGTTATTTTACAAATTTTTTGTAAACATTTATAAAAAATGTTTCCCTATATAAAATTGTAAAAAAATATAATATAGTGTTTATAGGTTTAAAAACAAGGCAAGCCTAATAATTCAAGTTCCATATTTAGATTAAAGAAAAAAAAAGTGTTTTTAAATTTATTACATCCGTACGTTATCAAATATTTAAAACCTTAAGAATCTTTTTTACTGCTTCTTTGTTTCCGGATCATAACTGAATTATTTTTTGATCTTTTGACTGGGGCAAAAGTGGCTGCACAATTTATTTTTGAATTATTCAGATCGTCTTGTTACATCGTAATGCATCATTTTTTATTTAAAATAACACCTACTCTTTTATAACAAAAAAATCTTTTTATACGATTTTTTTGAATTTTTATATATTTATGCTAAAAATATCAAAATTTTTAAAAATATTAAAAATTCTTATATGAATAAAAAATTGCTAGAATAATTAAAATATGCAATATTAAAACTGTAAGAAAATTTTAATGATTAAAATGTTTTAATAATAATAACGGTTGTTTAGCACTTGCTAAAATAGTGCAAAATTAATGTTTAAAACGGTTGAAATAAAAAAATGCATAAAAAAATGTTTTAAATTAAAGCTGCAAACTTCTTAAAATGTTTAGGAAATAATATCAAAAATTCTAAGAATGGGCATTAAAATGCTCAAAAAATTATTTAATTTTAATCTTTTAGAAATGCTCATAAAATTAGAATACTTAATAAAGTCAAAGACTTTAAGAAAAATTAAAAATGCTTGAAATATTAATTAAAAGTATTTCAAAGTAGAAACAAATAAAAATTATTAAAATTACAACCTCAAAAAATAATGCTTACAATGCTTTAATTGTTACAATACCAATACATTTAAAAGTGGAAATAAATAAAAATAAAAAACTGCAACCTTCCTAAAATGCTTAAAAAATAAGGATGTTAAGAATTTTAAAATGCTTAAAATATTATTTAAAATGCTTTGATTGTTAAGTAGTCAAAACATTATAAAGTAAAAATAAAGTAAAAGTAAAGTATTTTAAAGTAGAAACAAATAAAAATCATTAGAATTTCAATATTAAATGCTCAAAAATTGAGAATAATTGGTAATTTCAGGAGTTTTAAGAATAATTAAAAAGCTTAAATTATTTTTACAATACCAAAACATTCTAAAGTGGAAATTAATAAAATACAATTCTCTTAAAATGCTTCAAAAATTAAGAATGTTAAGAATTCCAAAATGCTTAGAATATTATTTAAAATGCTTTGATTGTTAAGTATTTAAAACATTCTAAAGTAAAAATAAATAAGAAATCAACCCTCATTTTAAAAAATTGGAATATTTAAAATGCTTGTTAATAAATGCTTGGATTATTAAAAATCAAAATATTTTAAGAATGCTTGAAAAATGTCAGGATGCTCTTATTGGTAAAATACATTCTAAAGTAAAAATAAATGAAAAAGATTTAATTAGCAACCTTTTAAAATTTGAATGCTTACGATATTGTTAAGTAATTAAAATGCTTTAAATAACATTTAATTTAAAATTCTTAAAACCTACAAATTATTTTAAGATTGGGAAAAAATAATATTAATAGTTTAAAAGCTAAAAATCTCAAACAAAAAGTGCAAAAATATTTTTTTTGAAATATTTACATTGCCTTGGTCCATTATATCATTATATCATTACTTATTAAAAACAATACCCGTACGTGCGTTACTTTTAAGCATAAAACGTAAAAATTAGTCCATTAGCAATTCTATTCTGTTCTCTAAAATGAATGGTCAGCTTGTGTAAGAGCCAGTTAATTTTTTTTTACGTAGTTTAATACAAAATTTATATTTTAATTTAGCTAGAAAGGGTTTTGTTAAGTAAGAACGTGTAAAAATTCATTTGTTTCCGTTTTTCCTGTTTTATATATATATTAAATGCATATGCATTATTCGCTTGTAATTTTTCAATTTAAATTAATAGAGGCCTTTATACACTAAAAAATTAGCAATAAAGAAACATAATTTATTTCGAATGCATTGTTTTCACCTATTGTAATTAAAAAAATCCTAATTAAAAAACTCTTAAACTTTCAAATATTATCAACAATATTTATTGACAGATACTTGGGTGCAAGCTTAATCTTATGGAAAGTTTAAAAAACGATAAAGACACACTTATTATTATTATTAATTTTATTATTAGCAAATTTGAGTAACGTTATTTTTATATTTATATTTTTGGAAGTTTGTGCGGGTTATATATTTGTGTTAAGCGTTTTGTTAACAATTGACTCGAAAATCATGCTAAATTTAACGCGAGAATCATAGTTGCCATGGACAAAGAACTTTCACCTCAATTCATGCCTTGATTTCAGTTTCAGAGTTGAGAATAATAGCTAAACCTTTTTCTCTCACTTTGGAACAACATATTCAAGACCTTGTTAAATGTGCTGAAATAACGAATTCCGAATTAAGGTTTATTGAATCTG